AAAACTAATAACATTAAATTAAAATGAAATTTATAAAGATACTGATATTTTCATTTATACAGTACGTTTTTCAAATTACTACAATAATTATTTAAAAAAGCAATTTCTTCGAAACTATAGGCCAATGGCTGAAACGGCTGGACACATATCGTTTTTTTTTTACTCAAAAACAGCCAGTAAAAAGCGCATAAAAATCCCCAACCCCGTCACTTGGTGTTTCTCTTGTAAGACAATAATAAATATTTGTCTACTATATTTGTGTATCATTCACAAAAGCACAATATTGGAATACGTCCAAATGCAGGACTTGGAAAATATTATGTATGAAAAACATTGCATCACCTTCTGATTACTTTTTCGCCGTCTCCTGATATTTACGCGGAAGGTCGGAGCAATGCGCAGTCTTGTAACAGATTAATTGTTGTGTTTTATGTAGTGTGGGATATAACTAGCCACGATATAACAAAATAAAACAGGAAAATTGGATATACTGCTAATGCCTTCCTGCCTGTGGGCTGACTGTCGCCAAGAAATGCCATCGATGCTGAAATATTAATAAATTTTAAAGTAATAATTCTTTTGAGTAATTATTTATAATAAAAAGATATAAGTTAATTTTACTAGAATTGGTGTTATACTTACCATACGTTGCCCACAAAAATCCAATCATGCTGATCACCAACCTAAGAGTAAATAGAAGACTGCTTTGCTGCACTATTAGTATGATTCTGCATAAAATTAGAGCGATGGCAGTTGGTAATAAGCAATACCCTAGGACACAAACGCTTTGAAAGAAAGATCTGTAAATTTGAATATATTTGTTATCATATATTTAAATAATAAAATTTCGCAATTATTTCAATAATTAAAATCAATTAATAAGTCAAAATTTACAGTTCGTTTACTTACATATTTCCACCCAACAATTTTGAATTCAATGTAACAACCATAGATCCAATCCATACAATAACAAACACTTCTGCAAATTCGGGCCCTCCATCGTTTGAACTGTCTGCTATGTCAGTTGAACCTTGCAATATCCTAAATGTAGTGCAATTGTAAATTAACATGTAATTTTTTCTTATACATCCATGACATCTATGTAAATATATCTATGTAAATATATCTTACATTGCCATAAAAGTACACAATATTAATGGTCCCCATAAATCCCCTGAAATATACAAACGTATTGTATAATGATCAGTCACCTTTTTACTAACAGAGTTCTGTCATTCATAGACTCACATTCTTTCAGTAAACTTTTCTTCTCTTTAGGATATAAAACATGGAAAAACTTCTTGCCCACCGCTCGAACGTCCCTCAACTATATCAGATAGAATGATAATTATATCACACATATGCAATAAAAATGTCAAAGATACATACAGGAAATTCTCCGTTACCTTGACTTTAAACGAAACTTAAAACTAAGAGATAGAGTCTGAGCACAAGAAGTCTCCAAGAGACAGCAATAAGTCGTATATCATACGCCAGAGCTTGTGCGTTGCTTACGTCTATAACTTAAGTCTCTAAGTAAGTGTTACGACAATTCTTGTGCTCAGACCGATAAGATCCGACCGTGTAAATGTACAACATACATATGGTAGAGAGCACCAATTATCGGTCAAAGAGTTAGATGTTATAAATACAATATATATTCTTAATTTTTAAATGTAATTATCTCATATGTGACTATGGGCTAAAACATTTGGACATTTACCACAATCGATCTAGACGCTAATAATAAAAATATGATGAGAAGCCGAAACATTCGGACATTCCTATGAAACAACCCCCCTAAAATTAATTCGGTAAAGAACTTATTGCAAAAAATATTACCTCAGCCAGAATAAAACTTAAAACTCTCTGTCTTGTTTTAAAGCAAAAGAGATGAGAGAGCTTTAAGCCTTGCTTAAAGTCAAAGTAACGTTGGTACAATCAGGCCTAAGACTGGTTAATGCTTCTAATTACTAATTACCAATTACCAACTCATTGCAGAACCTCTATTATAGATTTTGATGTTAGCTTCAAAATTATACAAGGATGAAATACTTCACTATTGCAGTGTCATCTATGTCTCTTGTTAGCAAAACATCTACTTACAATTGTATCTTTGATAGGCTCATCTAATGTATTAAATTCTGGTTCTCCTAAAGTCGACCTCTGCTTTGTACCAACTGTCATCTCACCGTCAACATGTTGAGGATCAACAACATACGTGACATCATCATACATCTGTTGAATGTAATAAAAATATTTAACGCAACGTATGTTTGACAAGAATGTATCTATGGATTCGTATCCTTCGATTATACTCGTCACAGCAAGTCTCAATAAGCAGACATTGGGATACGATGACGTTTGGTAAATCGTAGTGGATGATACTTACATCAAGCTTCGCTTCGCCATCCATCGCCGCCATATTCGCCGCTGACTGGCGTAGAGTAGAATCGTTATTCAGAGCTAGGATAAAGTGTAACGTCGACGATCTCGCGAGCGATGCGCTTCAGGCATATCAAGGAAGAGGAGACGTCGTGCCGATCGACACGTTGTCCGTGCGCGATAAGCTCGCGGTAGAACAGAACGCACACGTGTCCCTTCAGCTCGCCGATTCGCGTTTACTATGATTCGTTATCGGTGATAAAGCCATTACCGGTGAAGCCATGAAAACGCTGCATTTATCCGATTGCGATGTCACGTTCTTCCGGCTGCGAATTCAACGAATCGAGAGTATCGAGACTATGAACGTTGATTCTCAATGATTTGGAGGACCGAGAGGCGGCCGAGAGGAAAGAATGACAGCTCCAGACGGTTTGGTACATCGACAGGTGGCATTAGTGTCGCCAGTGGTGGAATTGCGGCGTGGCCGCGTTCGAATAAGATATATCAATCGGTATCGCTGGTTAATACTCTTCCGACGGTGCCTCGGCGGGGTGAACACCGTTCGGCGACATCATTGCTGACCGTTGCTCACTGGATGATTTTCATCGCGATGCTCCACTCATGGACGAGTCGATTACCGTATACTTTTCTTTGCGTTGTCGTGGCTGTGTCAGTGTTGACAATATTCGCTCATGCGCAGCGGGAAATCGACGAGTTAGCCGCGAGCGAGCCGCGAAAGAGCGGCGAATCCAAATCAAGACTCGACGAAGAGCTGTGTATGTATTAACAATAAGTTGAGCTTAATTTTTTTCCTTTTTGCGTCATTTTTTAGCTTTGTCATTCACAGATGCACTTTCTGTTCTTTTCTATTTTTTTAGCGGTAGCCTTGCACGTTGCTTTAAATACGTTTTTAAAGAAAATTTTTCTCACACTCAGAATTTTTGTACGAATTGGAATACTTTTTAAAAATACTAAAAAAGTGTACCTACAGTATATATTTTCTTAAAATTTGTCATATATGTATGTGAATTCTGAAATATTCTAAAATTTCTAAGATTTCTTATTTTATAATTTCTGAAAAAATACCTTAAGCTTTTTTTTTTCGGACTTTATAGATTTCATTAGAAATTATAAAATGAGAAATTTTAGAACATTTCAAATTTACATATATGAAGATTTCTAAAAGAAAATATACGTTCTTGGCACTTCTAAAAAGTATTTCAATTCGATTAAAAAAAAAAATCTGGCAAATTTTTTAAAAAGTAAACGAAATTATTCAGAGTTTTTGAAAATTTCTGAAATTTATACAAAAATTTTAAAAAATTATATGAAAAATTCTGAGAAAAATATTTGCTAAGGGCAAAATGTGAAAAAATATAGTTAAAAAGGATGGAAAGTTTGTTCTTTGTAGCTGAATGTACATTTGTTGTACTTAAATAGAAATAATTATACACAACAATAAAGAACAGATAGCCACACGCAGGATGTCAGTAACGAAAGTTTTATATTTAAAACATCATTGTTAAAACATAAAATTATAAACGTTTCGGCCAAGATATGGCCATTTTCAATACGTAAATTATATAAAAAAATTAGTCGAATACCCCACAGATAGCAAAGCGTGTCTCAGTAAAATCGTATAAATCTGTGATTGCTTATGATGCTGGCAATTTGCCATAGATTTGTCTTCAAATTTCGAATATATCGACATTGTAGCAACATGCAGACAATGGCTGCGTTCAGCAGACTCAGCAGTTTTGCAACCGTTTTATGATTCGTCGCGCTGATTGGTTTATACTTTCAGTTTTAAAGGAATAGTCCAATCTGAGCGAAGAATCATAAAACGGTTGAAAACTGTTGAGTCTGCTGAACGCAATGTGTATACGTCTCAGCCTCTCCCTCCCTCCCTCCCTCCCTCCCTCCTATGATTGGTCTTGCCCTTAGTTTCTCACTGGATCTAAATGTATAAACCAATCATATTGAAGTTTTACATTAGTTGCAAAGCTGCTTTTTCTGTTGTGTGAACGCAGACATTTATTGCCGCCGCGTGACAAGATTTTTCAAACTTTATAATTAATTCTTATAATTTTTTGGAATACATTGATTTAAAAAATTCTTTGAATATCTCTGGCGAAAATTTTTCTCATAATTTTTATACGAATTGGAACATTTTTCAGAAATACTCAGAAATATTCGGAAAGTTTACATCTTCTCTCAGAATTTTTCATATAAGTGAATTCTGAAATATTTTAAAATTTCTCATCCCATAATTCTTAAAAAATATTAAAAAATTTTTCAGATTTTATAACATTTCATCAGAAATTATACTCACAAAAAATCTTAGAAAAATCTTATGATATTTTATAATTAACATATATGAAAAATTCTGAGAAAAGATGTAGATTTTTTGAGAAATGTTCCAATTCGTATAAAAAATGTGAGGAAGTTATAAAATATTATATAGAAATTCTAAAATTATATAGAAATTCTGAAAAATTATATGAAAAATTCTGAGAAAAATTTTCACCAGGGATGGCAAAGAAAATAAAATAGAATGCGTGGAGTTTCTTATTATTTTCATTTCATTAATTAACAATATGTACAAAATAGGCGTATCTGCAAAGTAAAATATACAATATATAATATTTGCAAAAAAGTGTAAAATATATGTCTATATATGTCAAATTAAAAAATATATATATACCTGTATATAAAATTTGTAATTTAATATAAGCTATAATAATTTTATAAAATATATATTGATTAGTTCTTTTTCTGCATTTTTTAAATTTATATCACAGATTGTATTTCAAATTATATTTAATAATAATAAAAGAATTATTTTTAATAATAGTTGCAAATACATTGCACTGCAATATTGCTGCGACCTTACAGCGCAATCTTGTTGAAGATGGACATTTTTATGATGTTATGATTATGACATTTTTATGATATTGCAACAATGTTGCAAATACATCGCGCAATCTATTTACAATATTACAACATTGTAATGAGATATATCTACAATCATTTTGCAATCTTTTTGTGCTGTATGGGTCAGTCAATGTGTTAATGATTGCCGTGTTATCACAAAATTTCCAGATTCTGTGATTTTTAGGCAAATATTATTGCGTTGTTATGAGATGTAATGATGAGGAGAGAGAATATTTTGCTTAATAAAAGTTTTACGTCTGTGATGGTCATATCTTGGCCGAAATGTTTTTATGTTTTAACAGTGATGTTTTAAATATACGACTCTTGCTACTGACATCCTGTGTGTGGTTATCTGCTTCTTTATTTATTGTTTATAATTTATGCAACGTTGTTGTGGTTTTAAATAGTTATATATTTGAAATTTATCGAAAGCGAGATAAAAAGTTTTAGTACAATATCCAGTGTAGTGACAAAGAACAAGCCTAGAGTTATTAATGCGCTTTCTCTATTGCTATACAACTCTATTTACTAATAAATGAATGTTTTACTTTAAGAGTTACATTAAGCATTTTCTCATTAAGTATTTACATTTTTTACATTTATCTTACTTATTCTAAAACATAATACCTCATAATATATATAATATTATCTTATTTATACTAAATATTTTATCTAGCATTCTGCATTTTTTATCTCGATTTTTAACTTCCGTCAAAAACAGATTAACAGTAACATTACATCAATGTTGTAATTTTCCACTCGACAATAATGTAATGTAACACATATTGTACGTAACAATTACATTTTTAAGTAGGAAATCGTAATACTGATGTAATGTTACTATTATTTTGTGTTCAACGGATTATTACTTATTAATTTATTGTTTATTACTTTTTTACCTGTCAACTACTTTTTGTAATAGTTAAGAAATTATTTGCTCAACGACGAAAAGATCACATAGAAGCTGTGCAAACTCTCTTAAAGATGGACAATTACGAGCGTCTGTACAAAATGATCGCGATGCTAGTTGAGAAGGCAGTCGAGGTCATTGAATCGAGTAAGAGTGTCCTCGAGAAGGCCGATTTCCTACAGAACAATAGTTCCTTTCCAGAAGATGCCAACGTCAAAGATGGTACGATTATTTATATCCAGATAGCCGAATCTTTCAAAAACAAATTTCGCAAAGAGTCTACCATAAATTTTATTGTCAGAATGTATCGAGAGAATTTGCTAATAGAATATGATGGCAGATTGAGTGCAGAAACTGAGCAGAATCTGCCATTTCGCAATCATTTAAATAATTACAAAATGACAGACTGTACTTATATTATGGTTCTGCTGGCAATCTCTGAAAATTTTTCAAAATTTCTGCATATAATTATATAATTTTGTAAATTCAAGCACTTTTCAGAAATATTGAGAAAGCCTAAATCTTTTCTAGAATTTTTCATATATGTGACTTCTAAAATATTCTAACAAGAAGAGGCTCAGACACGTTCGGAATTTAGAAACTTATGGTAAAGTGCTATTACCTAGCTAGACATTACTTTGGTCAAGCAGTAAGATGCGCTTGTCAGCCATTGTCGACAAAATCGACTCTGAAAAATTCCGAACGGGGTATGTATGCAGCCTTTTTGCGAAATTAGCCTTTTCACGGAAAGGCTACCCTTTATAATAAAACGGCGTCTTTTTGCGAAATCAACGATAATTCCTTAATTAGGCTGACGCACTTAGACTTTTCGCGAAAAAGCTAACTCACATCAGCCTTATTGGTTAATGATACACGTTCTGTAAAAAGTGTATTATTAACCAATCTTGACCCTAGAACAATAATAGTAACTATCAAATAAAAGCAAATTTGGTAATTCTTCAAAAGAGCTTCCTCACCACCGATTTTGATGAAATTAGGCTCATTCGACGCGGTTTTGCAGAACGTGTATTATTAACCAATAAGGCTGATGTGGGTTAGCCTTTTCGCGAAAAGCCTAAAGTGTTTCAGCTAATTGACGATCATTGATTTCGCAAAAAGGCACCGTTTTGCATAAAGGCCTTTTCGTGAAAAGACTAATTTCGAAAAACATTCAATTCTCGGAATCACAAGGGAAACTTGTCACTGTTTCAAATTTCCCTTGTGGCTCCGAGAATTGAATGTTTTTGAAAATTTTGTGTTCCTGATTACGGTCAAAAATATATATAAATTTCAAGTTAAATTACAAAATTAAGCAAAAAATGAAGTCAACGTAACGAGAGCACACAAAAAATAAACCCTAACGCAAAAAAAAACCGTATTTAATATTTACTCGCTCTCGTTGTATTGGATTTTATTTATCACATATTTCTGTTACATTGTAAATGAAATGTACGTTTTTCAGGAAAGATTATATTGAATATATCCGTTGATTACTATAAATTTAATTAATTTTACATAAAAATAACAAATATTAAAATAAAAAAAAAGGGAGAAAGAAAGTGCCGGTAGAGACTCGAACCACTAATCATAAATATTACGACAGCAAGTCCATGGCCATGTATTATGCATTTCAAGTAAAAACATAATGTATTTTTATTATGCATTTAAATAGAATGGATGAAAAATGTCGGATCAATCACAAACCGGGGAGAAGGTGGCCAGACTCTGATTAGAGGGACACTAGTGGTTATTAGACAAGAGCACTACCCGTTACGCCACGGAACTTGTTGAAACTTGCTTCAGTGTGTACCCCGCTCGGAATTTTTCAACGTCGATTTTCTCGACTATGACTGAGAAGCATATCTTACTGCTTGGCCAAAGTAATGGGCGAGTTCAAGACTGCAAAGCGGCTAGGAATGCTTACCGAGCGATTGAATATGATTGATTGGATCTATAAGTAACGACCAATTATGCACATTTGCTCGGCAAGCAGGCTAGCTGCTTTGTCGACTCGAACGCGCTCAATGTCTGGGTGTACACTTCACCGTAGTTTCAAATTTTTCTAAATTTTGAACGTCTGAGCCTCTCCTTGTAAGACTTAAGATTTCTCATTGTATAATTTCTGAAAAAAATTTATAAAATCTGAAAAAGTTAAATAAAGTATTTAAAAAAAAATCTTTATGAATTTTAAATATGAAAAATATTATAAGATAAAATATATAATATTATAAGATATTATAAAAATATTTTTATCTCTACTATTAGATTGTATCTCACACGGCATGAACTTAACGGATACAATTGATGCCACTCTGCCATAATGTTCTGTTCGGATGTGCTGATAAACCGCTAGCATATCGCTAACACTTTACTTATTGAGCTAATTGTTAGTGTACGGTGGATATCTGAATATTAAATTAATATTTATAAAATTAATTAGATAGAGGATATAATAGTGATTTCATAAGAAATAAAAAATCGAAATGCCATTCTGACTTGTCTTTTTTATTTATTGTATTTATCGTAGCATTGTCTAACATCCTGGAGAACATCGTGCTCTTCGGAGACATCGTGCTGCATTTGCCGGACATCACTCACAGGATACTGAGGACGCAACCGGGATGGAACTCTACAATACACTGGTCCCTGAATTTCGCCAATCAGACGCGGTATTTACTGAATAAATCGACCATCACGATGTTTCGTTTGGTCGAACAGGAGCTGAATATTACGGAACGCGATCCAGCCTACTTAAATCCGTATAGGAGTGCTGCGCACGCCGGCCAGCGCGAGGATTCTATAAAGAAGTCTGTGAAGAAAGAAAAACGCAAAAAGGGACCGCAGATTGCTAAAATCGAACTGTGAGCCCTTACTTCCGACGCTCGCGAGATTTCTCCGACCGGTTCCTAAATCGCCTCGTTAAAAAGCGGGCTCTCTGCGACGCCGCCACGCCGCGCCGTTAAAATCCTAGAGAATATACCATATCTGATTCTAAGGGGCTGATTCTGTAACTCTTAACGACAGTCGTTGATGTCGTTGCGCAGATATTATGTAGAGTGAAAAAGCTGCACAATCAATGATTGTTATTAAGAATTATAGAATCGGCCCGTACATCCTACAGAATTGATAATTAAGAGCTTCCGAATGGCTTAATTCAATGAGGATTAATTTATATATTTCATATACAATGTCTATATATATATATATATATAATTAATTACTATAAGCTATTAAGAATGTGCAAACTTAGCATTTATATTTAATAATATACTAATTATTTTGTGTTATGTAGATATGTTGTTATATACATCGAATTCCAAGATAAACCCTTACAAACATTTAATACTAGAAGAAAGTGATAAATTATTTATTAAGCACTGAACGTGCTTTTAATATTCAAAATACATAATTAATTTTTTAGTATTAAATTGACTACTATTAGATTAGATTTCTGTAAGAGAAATATCCTTTCAATATTAAATAAAATTGTTGCTGTCAACAACTGCATTTCTAACTTGCGTAAAAACAGTTGTACATAAAATTCTAACGTTCCTGGTATTTGACTGTTCCAATATTATCGAAGTGTTCACATAATTTGTTTGACTTCCGGCGATGAAAAATCGTCACGGAGCTGCGCCGATCCGTGCTCATTTGAAAGCGAAATGAGCGGAAAAGACAGTTTGGTGCAAACTGTGAATTTGCGGCGTATCGTGTCTGAAATGAAAGACAACTTTCCTCGTTGGTTTGTCCCGATGCGATGGTGAGCCGTCGCACCGCTCCGGTAGAAAGTGGTCAACCAATGAGCTGAGAACTGATTCCTGTGCCGGCCAGTTCCCGAGAACTGTCGCGACGGCGGTGTATCCTTGGCGCGCAGTGTCGCGGCAGCCGATCAACCCGGTGGATCGGTCAGTCGGTTGGTTGATGATACGTCGCTGTGGTCGTGGTGAATTGCACGAATCGAACGAGGGAAGACACGCGAAGGACTTGGAACTGCGCGACCATCAGCTAGGGAACACTGAGACGTCGCGCGCGGTATACGATGAGGCTCCAAGAAGCGGCGCTGCTCTGCGCCGTCTTGACCATCGTCGCAGGTAGGCGCGCCTACGGTGTTTTTCACGTTACGTCAACCACCTTTCTCTCCATCGATGTTCTTATCCCGAAAGATCGGAGTGTACGCATATGTGGGAGAGTGAGAAAATAGGAGAAATTATTTGAAATTCTCACCATGGATTACACAAGACTCTTTCCCGGCCATTTCTCCGTACAATAAAAGTCATTATAATAGGAATGCTTCTATCTCGTTTCCTCTGTGCGCGCGCGCGCGCGGGTGTGTGTGTGTGGTGTGTAGGAAATTGCGAAATTTCGAGATTGAATTTTTATCGGTTTCAATCACCAAGTTCCTTTTACCGTTCACCTGCAATACTCTCGGTGTATTATCGTACCATGTTCAATAGATCAATGAGATGGATTACAGTTGTTTTCCAAAAATTATGAAATTTCCAGACGATCCTCAGCAAACACTGAGTATAATTCATATAACATAAATGTAAAATGTAGATATTTACGTCATGTAGCAGTGTGGTGTGTGTGTGTGTGTACGCGCGCGCGCGCGTGTGTGTGTGGACTCGACATTCTGAACTATGCAGTCTCGTTGCTCTTCGGAACTGTGTCTGACCAGTTCTAACAGGTCGTTATTAATGTTAATTTCGTCCTTTTTTCCTCTGATGGTATCCCAGCCTTCTCACGGAATTACGTTCTTCGATAGCGTGTCCTTTTCTTGTTTCTACCCTCGCCTTTCTCTTCGCAGCCGTTATTTTTATCGATAATATCATGTGCGAATAAAGATATATTTAATTATAACAATCCAATAAATAATTGCATATTAAGCAGCTCACTCTTACATATCGTATATTCTATATTTGTATATACTTTATCACAAAAATAAACGTGCATATATGAATGGTATTCGTCTAATTGAAAAATAGATAATCAGACGTGGTTTTATAGTCTCATTAATTGATTCATTTAGAAAATTCTTCAATCTTTATCTATGATAAGAATCCATGAACCCGGTGAGCCAAATTTTTCAGTCAGTCCGTAGTAGAACGAAAAAAAAAAAAATAATAATAAATAAAACGTAGAAATCGAAAGACGACATGGATGCGCCGATCAAATTCGATACGTCGGTGGTTTCACTCGCGTTTACATAAGATTTATTTCATGCGCATATAACGTATGTATGTATGTATCTATGTGAGCGAAAGAGTGCACACACGTGTCATCGCACGTGTGCGTGCGTCCGGACGATAGAAGGAAATGTTGTACCTTGGGAGAGAACGAAAGAACACATCGTGAATGCAACGTCATTGCCAATGTGTTGGTATACCTTCACTTTCCACTTTACCGCTAAACGGACCTTAACTCTTTGACATCCGCGAACATGAACACCTCTCTCGACGAGTTGCGGTTGTCCTGTCTTCATTGTCTCGCCACCTACTGTAATTCTGGAAAAGAAATAGAAATAGATTTTGAAGGGAAGTTCATTATAAATATTTTATCAAATTCTACAGAAATTTAATTTAATACTAGAAGGTAGTGATTAATTACTTATTTTGAGCATTAAAACGTTTAATGCTTTTAATATTGAAATATAGAAATCATACAGAAAGTTGTGTTCAGTGGTTTTAATACTTAAAATAAGTAATAATTAATTATACTACCTTTTAGTATTAAATTAGCTAATATTATATTAGATTTCTATAAGGGAAGTCAGACGAGACAGATTAGGAATTTCAAAGGTTCACTGATATCTGACCTTGCAAATTATAGAAATTTATGTAACGAATTAAATATATCTCATTTCTTTCAAATCACCCGTTTAGAATACAGACATCCGTTACTATATCAGGAAATCTAGCGAAAGCGAGGTCACCGATTCATGGTATTGCTGGGCCTTTTAATCGCCGAGCGATCAAGTTACACGTTAAGTGTTTCACGTGTAATTTTTGATCGATGTTCTGTATATACATCGAAGAAATTTGTTAGAGTTTATTATCTTGATTGTGGCCAATTGAGGTTTACTTTGCGAATTATGATCACAGAGTAATTATTTTGCCTTATCGTTTAATGAAAAAAATCACTAATCGGAATCACTAATCGTGAAGATCAAATTCGAAAAGACGTATGTACATATCTTAAATGACAAAAATTCTTATATTTCATAATATTTTTAAGAATGTTTCATATTTAAAATTTACGAAGATTCCTAAAAAAAATATTTTTTAAGCTTCTTCAGATTTTGTTAGTTTTCTTTGAAAATTATAAAATGAGAAATCTTAAAAATTTTAGAATTTCGGAATTTACATATGTAAAAAAAAGGTGTAGCCCGATAAAAAATTCTTCATGCATGAATGTGTATAAATATATATAAACATACATAAATATTCATAAATATATATAATTTTATATGAAATATATCCATACACATTTTTTTATATCCATACGTGTTCATATATCCTTCTTCCTTTTGTAAAATTAGTTTTTAATGTAATAAAAATAATAATAGTAATGTGAAAATATTAAAAATAATTAAAAGGATAATTTTCGTACTATTTATTAAAAAAAAAAATTAATTTTGAAGAAATTTAAAGAAATTACTTATGTATAATTAAATATAAAATTATGCATAATTGTGTATGAACAATTTTTTTTTAGTATTTTTCCAAACTTGTTTTTTTTTGTAAAACGAACAATACGAAAATTATCCCTTTAATTATTTTTTATGTTTTCACATTACTATTGTTATTTTTATTACACTAAAAAGTAATTTTACAAAAGAAAGAGGGATGTATGGACATATTTCATATATAATTATATGTATTTATGAATATTTATGTATGTTTATACATATTTATACATATTAATGTATGAAAAATTTTGTACTGGGAGATATTTTCAGCACCTTCCAAAAAGTGTTTCAATTCGTATAAAAGATCTAAAGAATTTGAAAAAAAGTTATAAAGTTACATAGAAAAATTTTTTTTAATTCTAAAATTTATTAAAATTCTGAAAGATTATGTGAAAAACTTTAAAAAAAAAATTTCTCTAGGATAATATAACCTTATTTTGATTTAATTCTAATATTATAAAAAGGAATAAAAATGTGCATACATATAACAATTATAAGGTCACTAGGAAGAATATATCTTCATAGGTGTTACTTTCTCTCACGAGCGCTACAAACCATTTTTTAATATCTTCTATCTCCACGTCGATCACGCGTCGTGCAATTTCTCTCACTATATCTCGCGTCCACTGTGATACCGCTGTTCCTATAATTAGTCCAAATTTCAATATTGAGTTATATTAATTCAATACCAACTTAAGTTTATTACTAAGAGAAATGTCACATGTGTGAAATATTTAAATAAGAACCTTGACTGCACCGAAGCTCCATAATTGTAGACATAATGTTAACTCAAGCACTTACCACGAATGTGTGTTATGAGTTTCGCGAAAACTTGTGCAACTCTTGCGTATGCAATCACGATGGCGCGTCTGGAATAGCTAAAGAACTCTTCCGGCATTCAAAGATTTTTCAAGCGTTCTGCATAAATCGATGCATGTACGCTTGGCTGAACAGCTAAATAATAGTGCATCGTAGCGCAGGACCAGTGTGCAAGGATCGAGTTTAGAACTTCCTAAGAAATTATCTACATCCATTCGCGGAATCCGGATTAATTAACATTAAGGTTCGAAGATCAGTTTAATGGCTCACGAGATTTCTATCTCTGACGCAGTTCTAAATTTTCAATTTAAAGAGGCTTTTTAAAGAAAAAAAAAGGCGCGCGAGACGGAGCTCTGAAATATGTTAATGCTTGGAAATTTGTTGTAGTGCTAATGCAATTCCGCCTTTTAGACGCTTTTAACGCATTTGCGTTTCACCGAAAGGAGCATAAACACTCGTCTGTGCACACACATATGTTCAAACATATTGGAATGCCCACAATCACGTTTCTCGCTTTCTCAAACTTCTCTTCTGGAATTTCTCTCGCCCATGTTTTCGACACGCAG